AGGCGCCTTTTGCTGATCGGACTCTAGATTTTCCTGCAAGGCTTGCTAGTTGAGTGCAAGGCACACTGCAGAATTTTGCTTCTGCGAGTCAAGGTGAGTGGAAGTAAAGTGGCCAATCTTCTTGTTACTACTAGCTTCTTGCTACAAGTAGTACGGCCAGGAGCCCCTAGTAGCGTTCTTGCTCCTTTAGTAGTAAGGCCAGGAGCCCCTAGTAGATTTCATGATACTTTATAGTAAAATATAATTAGATATATGATATATGTGTATCCTCATGTACAGTATTCTCGATTTCAGATTCATCGTGACACTGGTAACCCTGATGAGTCCTGCTCAAACATACTGAACTCGTTGGCCAGGACCTTGATTGCTTCGCATGTCCGGAACAAACATCTGCTTCAAACGTCTGGCCCCCTTTGTCAAAACAGTCTCAAAATCCTAGCCTGTACCGCTTTGGCCATCCGTGAGACATCTTCTCGGAAGACCTCTGTCAGCACTGGGTGAAGCATCGCCTCCTTTGTCACGGAGAAATCTTTGCTTACCTGCAAATAAGGCGGTGCATCCTTCAGAACCCTTCAGCCTGTTCTGTCTGCTTAGGGTTACTTCAGTTGGCAGCCTGTTCCAAATGCTTGGCTGTGCGAAACGCATGGCTAGCAGCATTTTCCACGCGATGAGATTCCTGGCACTTGAGGATACTTGAGGCCACATGGAAGGCTGCGTGGACGAAAGCTAGGGTGTTGCGAGAGAATGGATGAAAGCGATTGAAAAGTGTGAACAAAGTTGACAACACCATGGGCTGGCAAGGTACGCCAGCACACTCTCACCGCATCTTTATTGAAAAGTCCACGAGCGAATTCATTCCAGAAAAATCTAGAAGTCTTCGGTCTTCACTTGAGAGGCTGGAACGAAAGCGATAGACTACTTTGCTCATTCCATCACCATCCGCAAGAGAATGACCAGGGAAATATCATGTCATTTCTGTTTGACAAGTGGCAAGATGTGACATTTAAACGAATTTATACAAACAGGCCAGCGAGGCGTCACGGATTCGAGAAGTGTTCTCCACTGTTGCTTTGCCTCCCAGCATATCAAATGGCCCCGCAGTGCAGGATATGGAATCCAACCCCATGCTGCACAAGCACATTCATATTCACAGAAAAATACAGGAGCTGGGCACCAGGCTAATCTCCTCCAGCTCTCTGCGCAGCTTGTGGCTGTCCGCCATATGCATCCTGAACATGGTATCTGAAAAATCCTGAACTGAAGCAAACTCACAGCTCGGAAAGAATTAATCAACTGGTTTAGAGAAACATGTTTGTGAGTTCCCCCACGGCCATCCCCAATCAACTGTAGACTACGGTATTTTGGACCCTTCCCTCAAGAGCAAATGGATCAGCTGTCAGAGCAATCTCATTGCTGGATCATGCGCTCTGCTCCTGCTTTCTTTTGTGAGATTGCCAAGCATTGATGTCACAGTGCCTCTAGCCATGGCATTGCAAAGAAACAGTTCTCTAGCATAACTCTATTTGTGAAATTATACGTTGTCAGTATAAATGTAGTGTGAGTCATGGTGAATCTATCCACAAACATAGTCTAGTGCCTCCTTGCCCAAGCTGTTCCTCAAGAGACTCTTCCACCCTGGCAGAATTCGATCAGAGATTGTATATGACACTAATGTGTCTTGCTCCTCAGTGAGTGGTTGCAGTGCGTCAAAACTTAGTTGCTTTGAAAACTACATCCTCCAAGCGCTCATGAATCATATAGTCTTTTTGTGATTGAACTATAGAGGAGGCGGCGACAAGCTAAGCTATTGCCGTGTTTCAAAATAGGTAACCAGCCTGGCCATTCGTGAGAGTAAAGATAAGTAGTCCATTTTCTCAACAAACTTGTCCTGCAAGTGAAAGTCAGCAACAAAAAAGTAAAAGATGCTCAGCTTGACGGATCTCCATTTCATTCTGTTCCTTTCCGCATCTGCATGTTCCTCGTACGTCGACCGGATGTCCTTTATCTCTTGACCTGGCAGCAAGGACTTTCGAGGCATCAGTTAACACAAGCAAGAGGCCACCTAGACGCTCGAGTTCCTCTCGATCTAGTCGGCGCACCTTAACTTTTAAGAGGTACACCAAAATCATTGCAAACAAAACACAAACCCTGTTAAACATCGATTATGTGATTTGTTTTTTATATTATTTCATTACATTTGATTTGAGCATGCAGCACGACTACGAAAACTGTGGAAAGGACTGTGGTGCCACTTCCAGCAGCCTCAGGACTTATTTGTCGACTTGACATGCAACAAAAACTGCTCATGACGCATGTCCAAATATTACAAAGGTGCTTGGGTGAACTTACAGTAATAAAGTCTATACGCGTTTAATGTTCCGAAGCTGCTGGCAGTACTTCCCTTCTTCAAAAGCTCCTGACAACTAAGGAATCAAAGCTCTTTCCCAGCTACCAGTTAGGCCTTTTCTTGAGATTCTGTCTTGCTCTGGTGTTTCTTGTTATTTCTGCTAGTTCAAGCGTTGAAGCCACAACCAAAAACGTAACTTTATGTGGCAGGTTCAAGCACTTGCTCACATGCTGACACAGTTCACGAGGTGGAGAAGACAGGAAGATTTGGCATGCGATGAGATCGAACCAGGTCAATTGAGATGAAGATCACAACTTGCGAACGACGACAACCAAAGACAGGAAAATGCCTAAATGGGTCCGCTTCACCGTTTCGACAGGAAGCTTGGATTCTGTTCATCTCAAAACATGCTGCTCATTCCGACCATTTCGCGCAGTTTTGCACTTGAGGTTTGAAGGTGTCCCAAGTCCTTGCTTCTGCCTCTGTCAGTAGGTCTTGATGACACAGAGAAATGGCTCTCTGATTCTTTGCTCGAGCTCCGACTTCCGAATGGTTCAGAGCTTCTGTCCTGAAAATGCAGCATAACTCAAGTCAGCTCTACGGCCTCTGCAGTGTGCTAGGCTTAATGCAGCAAATTCAGCTGTCCAAGCGTCTTCAGGACTGGCTTGCCGTTGCAAGAAGTCTAGTGGCATTGAAGTGCTCAGCAAGTCATGGGATGCCGCCTGACTAGTGAGATTCTGAAAAAGAAAAAACATCTATATATATATGCAGTGATCACATAAAACTATCACACAAGCCCTAATTTGCCAATGATCGCGCGAATAGCATCTCTGAGACCTGGCCTCCCTGGTCAATTGGTTGCCCAAATCCTCGACCTCAATCTGCATGTACACAGGTGTCTCATTCCGCGTCCACAATGTGGCACAGCTGTGGCACACAAGCCTATGGCACAGCAATAGCACAGCTACGTATAAGGATTTGGACAGACATAATATGGACACCTGGTCTCGAGTGAAGCGCCAGACTTGTGGAGACATTGCCCGTCTGAACGGCAAATCCCCGATGACATCATCCTGGTCCATGCTATATTAGGTTGGCTGCGCTTATAATTGAACTGAGCTCTGGGCTCATCTTGATTGGTTATGACACTGGTCAGGAGCGGTTTTTGTTTTGTGTTTGCGCAGGCTCCTCCCCTTCCTCATTCTTCTCTGCCAGTGGCGCCAGCAAAGGGCTACCGTCTGGCGAGGCCTTCAAGGTCAAGCAAAGCCAGAGTCCAAACAACATCGAGTAAAATAAACACATCCTGATACTTTTTAAAATAGCCCGGGTGGGGTAGGCTGCTAATAGAGGAGAAGAGGTAGCTAGTAGCTTGAGCAAGCTTCTAGGTAGGATGCAGGATAGCTCACCCTTCCTTGAAGAAGCGCTCGCACTAATGATTTGGTTCCTAGATTTTTGGGGAAACTTACAGTAACTTCAAACAATGTCAATGTCTTTTCACAATGCTTCGATGGTTTAGTTTATACTAAGCACATCTAAGCACGTTGTTGATCGCTTTCATGTACTCTCTTTGCTTGGGCAAAAGGTTCCGATGCGTGGTTTCGTTCACAATGGTTCTCTCCTCCAAACTCTCGAGGCTCTTCATGAGACTTTGCTTGCGAAGCTTGTTGCGTTCAGCGGCGCTTGGATCCTCCACAAGGCACAAAGTAACATCGGCGGCTCCTTTGTGCACATTGCTTGACTTCGGCTTCTTCTATATAGCTGAAAAAAGTATGCTATTTCAAACAAAAATGCAAAGCCTAATTGCAATGCTCCACGTCCTGCTTGGGGCCACTGTTTGTGGCACCTTTAGCGAGCGGGTCCTGCTGTCTTGATTCATGACATCAAAGAACAGCTGGCTGGCGTGATGGCGCGTAGAAGGAGAGGGACTCTTCAAAGAAACAACTATGCTTGCAAAACACGGGGATTGCAGAAAAGAACACCTAGACTGAGACCTATACAAACTATCAGCAAGCAATGAGATTGCACAAGCATTGGCGTCCTCGTCCTGACTGGACATCGTGAAACCTGCAATTGGAGAAAATTTTTGCGCTCCAAGCAAATCTGAGCATTCATATCGACCAAGTCACTGTGTGTGGGCTCAACTCCAAGTTAAAAGGCTTAGCCTTCTGTCCAAGAGAATTGCCATTCCAACAGAAACCCGGACAACACCTGTTACTAGTCCTACTGCCAGTTGCGATTCACTGGTGTTGGGCCCGAAAGCCTTGATAGCTGGGATGAAGCATCTTCATGTCTTCTGACGCATGTTGTGTGTTCAATTGCTACAGTGCTTGAGCACAAGTCGCAGAACAAAGAGGAGCCTGTATCTATCGCAGCATTCCTAGTGCCCAAACAGAATCCTTTTGCATCCTTTTTTCCTAAACCCTGTCTTCAGTTGTGTCAAGCCGCTCATTGGACTCATCGACCATCGCCCTTCCGTGGCGATGTCTCATATCCACGCAGTCCTGTTTTCTGGCTGCTCCCCAGCCTTTGCTTGTTGCTTCAAGTATCTGGTGCCTTTCGCTGCACTTGCCGGTGGAAAGGCTAGAGCTAGAGGCCCGCTATGACTTGGACTGTAAATGTAAATCCAATCTTGTGGATCCAAGAGTCCAAAACTTCACGACGAGTCCAAAGGCATCAAAGGACGGTCAATGACTTTCTCCAGGTCATCTGCAAGCTCCTCCAGATTCGAGAGCTCGCAAGCTCCAGGTGTCTTGACAGCTGCTTCATACGCGCAAAGCGACACTTCCGCAATATCCAGCAGCCTCAGTGTGGTGAAGTTCTATATGTCATGTGTCCCACCATTCAGGTTCTGTAGAACCCGGGCAATATATACAAGTAGTTCCCGGGCAAGCCGCGGCGGAAGTTTCCAAAAGAATAAACCTAAAGGAAATGGGCATGTGGCAGGCTGATTCGCCGAGCTGCGATGTTCTTTGACAAAACAAGTTGGAACCGACCAATGGAGCGAAAGCGAAGCAACCACCGTCAACTGTCTCGCAGGAAAAAACGTTGTTCATGCATTTTTGCAAAATACAGAATAGAGATGACTCAGCCGCGTACTAAAGTTGTACTACAAAGTCGCCAGTTCTCAGCTTCCAGCTCCACGGCTTGCTCCGCGTACTAGAGTTGTACTACAAAGTCGCCAGTTCTCAGCTTCCAGCTCCACAGATACTCCGCGTACTAAAGTTGTACTACAAAGTCGCCAGTTCTCAGCTTCCAGCTCCCCAGATTGCTCCGCGTACTAAAGTTGTACTACAAAGTCGCCAGTTCTCATCTTCCAGCTCCCCAGATACTCCGCGTACTAAAGTTGTACTAGAAAGTCGCCAGTTCTCATCTTCCAGCTCCCCAGATACTCCGCTACTAAAGTTGTACTACAAACGCCAGTTCTCAGCTTCCAGCTCCACAGATTGCTCCGCGTACTGAAGTTGTACTACAAAGTCGCCAGTTCTCAGCTTCCAGCTCCACAGATTGCTCCGCGTACTGAAGTTGTACTACAAAGTCGCCAGTTCTCAGCTTCCAGCTCAGCTCTGCTGTGCCTGCCACGAAATCTGCACATGGAGGTTCACAGAGTGCTGTGCCTGGCGCGAAATCTGCGCACGGAGGTTCACAAAGCGCTGTGCCTGCCACGAAATCTGCACCTCGAGGTTCACACAGTGCTGTGCCTGCCACGAAATCTGCACATGCAGGTTCACACAGTGCTGCGCGTGCCACGAAATCTGCACATGGAGGTTTAGACAGTGGTGTGCCTGCCACGAAATCTGCGCATGGAGGTTCACAAAGTGCTGTGATTGCCACGAAATCTGCGCACGGAGGTTCACACAGCGCTGTGCCTGCCACGAAGTCTGCACATCGAGGTTCACAAAGTGCCGTGCCTACCACGAAATCTGCACATGGAGGTTCACAAAGTACTGCGCCTGCCACGAAATCTGCACATCGAGGTTCACGAAGTGCTGTGCCTGCCACGAACTCTGCACATGGAGGTTCACAAAGCGCTGTGCCTGCCACGAAATCTGCACATGGAAGTCACAAAGTACTGCGCCTGCCACGAAATATGCGCGTGGAGGTTCACAAAGTGCTGCGCCTGCCAGGAAATCTGCACTTCAAGAAACAACTGAAACCTCTATCACAATTGAGGGACGATTCCGAGCATGATCCGACCATGACCCAAGACCGTCTCGCAACCGTCGTTCCGCGGAGCTTCCCCGTCGAGGCTCGGAGAAGCATGGAGGTTCACAAAGTGCTGCGCCTGCCACGAAATCTGCACATGGAGGTTCACAAAGTAATGCGCCTGCAACGAAATCTGCACATCGAGGTTCACAAGTGCTGCGCCTGCCACGAACTCTGCACATGGAGGTTCACAAAGTGCTGTGCCTGCCACGAAATCTGCACATCGAGGTTCACAAAGTGCTGCGCCTGCCACGAACTCTGCACATGGAGGTTCACAAAGCGCTGTGCCGGCCACGAAATCTGCACATGGAGGTTCACAAGTATTGCGCCTGCCACGAAATCTGCACATGGAGGTAAGTGCTGTGCCTGCCACGAAATCTGCACTTCAAGAAACAACTGAAACCTCTAATCACAATGGAGGGACGATTCCGAGCATGATCCGACCATGACCCGAGACCGTCTCGCAACCGTCGTTCCGCGGAGCTTCCCCGTCGAGGTTCGGAGAAGCATGGAGGTTCACAAAGTGCTGTGCCTGCCACGAAATCTGCACGTCGAGGTTTGCAAAGTGCTGTGCCTGCCACGAAACTGCACATGGAGGCAAAAGTGCTGTGCCTGCCACGAAATCTGCACATGGAGATTCACAAAGTGCTGTGCCTCAAGAAACAACTGAAACCTCTAATCACAATGGAGGGACGATTCCGAGCATGATCCGACCATGACCCGAGACCGTCTCGCAACCGTCGTTCCGCGGAGCTTCCCGTCGAGGTTGGAGAAGCATGGAGGTTCGCAAAGTGCTGTGCCTGCCACGAACTCTGCGCATGGAGGTTCACAAAGTAATGCGCCTGCCACGAAATCTGCACATCGAGGTTCACAAAGTGCTGTGCCTGCCACGAACTCTGCACATGGAGGTTCACAAAGTGCTGTGCCTGCCACGAAATCTGCGCATGGAGGTTCACAAAGTGCTGTGCCTGCCACGAAATCTGCACATGGAGGTTCACAAAGTGCTGCGCCTGCCACGTACAGGAGCTAGAGCTATTGAAACTAGAGCTACCTGGAGCTAGAGCTCTTGCAACTAGAGCTAACTGGAGCTAGAGCTCTTGAAACTAGAGCTAACTGGATGATGAGTGGTGTATGTTGAGTGGTGTATGTTGAGTGGTGTATGATGAGTGGTGTATGATGAGTGGTGTATGATGAGT